CCTCCGGGGCTGCTGGCGCTCAAGGGGCGAGGGTTTTGCGCGTTGTGATATGTGCCAAGAGCTTGGAGCATGGAAAAGTCGCTGAGAACAGCCGCCGCTGGGTGCTCTGGTGATGTTTTCCAGGGTACCTCACCCACACGCACATGGGCATCGCGCCTGCCTCGGTGCCCCCCCTGCCCATGGTCTCTGCCAGCCCGTGAGCAGTGGTCACAGCGTTCTGGGAGGAGCAGGCACGCGTTGTGGGAAGGAAAGACATTTCCTCCTGTGTCCCAGCTTAGGAGGAGGATAACTGAAGATACATTGTCCTCTTACCTAATGGCTTTATGTAAGTTTCAGTAGCAGGAAGTTGCTCAATAGATAATTACAAGGTTAATTAGAGAAGGCTCTGTAATACACAGCTGTCTCCTGCACTGGAGACCAGTCTCCAAATTGTGACTCTTGTCTTTTGGCTGCGTTTCTGTACAATGTAGAGAACAGGTAAGATGTTAGAGGAGCTCTCCAGCCTGTCCAGGGCTGCAAGTCATCCTCAGCATCGTAGGTGCTGGTGGCACAGGTCCTTTTGGGCACTGTGACCAGAGGCAGGCTGCGGAGCTGCTTTGGTTGGCGTGCAGGAGCCCTAATATCCATGGAGCACCCATGAGCTGAATACTTACTGGCTTGATGTCCCTGCCTTCCCCTTGGCTATGACAGTGAGCATTGCCTGCCCTCACCCCAACCCCTGATGCTGTGCTCCCCGCCTCTACGCAGGGGGTCTGGGCCCTGTTAATACACCAGGTTTCTGAACTGGGCTCTGCTGTTGCAGTTCAAAATCAAGCCTCCTTCCTGCGTTTTAGCTTCGTAGGTCTTGTAGTGTCTGTGTGTGTACAGGGAGTTTTTAATTAAAGCCTAAGTCTGTACGCACACAGAGCTGCTCTGGATTCCTGTAGCTCTTGTCTAAGGTGGAAGTGCTGAGTGGAGCTTTGCTTGCAGGTGTGGTTTTCTCTGAGCTGTGGTTGACAGTTCTGAGAATGGGTCTGAGATGGGGTTTGGTCTGCTGTGCAAGCAACAAGTGGCCTGCAAGTCCCAGGGGAAATAAGGAATTCTGGTGGCAACTGAGTGAGGCTGGAGAGTAAAAAGTGTGACTTGGATGTGTACAGGAGAGCTCAGCCCTTTTCCTGTGGCTCTCCAGCAGCTGTACACTCACTCGAGGAAAATGGCTCGTTGTGAGACCTGGGCTAAAAGAGTGACTCCTGCAGGGAAGTTTACCTTGGAGGAGTGCTTGAACAACAGAATTGGTTGTGGGTTTTGAACGCCGAGCCCCTTACCCAGGAAAGTTACCCCAGGTCACAGCAGAGACCACAGCAGATGTGACTCGGGGCAGGCCAGGCAGCAGTAATGCTGCCGATAGGACAGAGCCCAACATGAGAAAAGCAGTCTGGCTTTTTTAAGCAATCTGCTAGAAGGGGAATTCCATTCTCAAACTTCCTGTATTGATGGTGTGATGTTCCCTGCTGATTCATTTGCAGTGTGTACAGCGGCCTCCCTGAGCAGCTCTTGACAAACATATGCAAATCATAGTGGAAATTAGCTTTTACTTCCTTCTAAGGGAATTTTTTCTTGGCTGCTGCCAAATCAGATCAGCCCAATTAGCTGCCTTCTGTAGATGTGAGATTGGTAGCAGGGACTCGGAAAGAAAAACATCTGCTTTTTGCCTTTAAAAGACCACAGTAACCTGTGTCCAGCTATGTGTAGCAAAACCAGTCTGACACTGGAGAAACCTTTTAGAGCATCTTTGTTCCGATTGTTAATGTCAGCCTTTCTGTAACTTGGGATTCTGAATGTGTAACACTCTTCAGGTGTTAGTTTTGTTGCTGAAAGTACCAACATACTTACTCTAAAAACTCTACAACTCTGATTTTCCTAACAGTTTCTGAGAAGGGGGAGGACAGGAGGAGAAGTCAAGTTTCTTTCTGGTGGTACTATGGAATAGATCTTAGCAACGCCTCTGCTGGGATGTAGGTTCTTTGGTAATCACTCTGTGGAGGAGTTCACTGATGTGCTGCATGGTGGTGGGAATTGAAATGTTCTTGCAGTGTAGCTGGGAAGAGTAAAACTCAGGGCAGGAGTAGTGCCCAGGTGGGGAAATCTTACTGAGTGGTGAGACCAGTTATCTTCAGTGTAGTACATCTTACCAGGGTGTTATCGTGAAACACAGGCTCTCAGGTCCCCAGGATGTAATCCAGGGCTGTAATACAGAAATGTTGAAAGCTTGCCAGAACCATTATCAGCAAAAGAGCTTGATTGCGCTGTAAATACTGGCACTTGTAAAACAGGAGCTGTAGCTTCCTCTTAGAAGTTCTGGAAACTATTGATATGACCTAATAAATAACTAAGAAGTAGCTTTTTGCGTTGGTACGTAGCTTCTCACGCTGTTGTCAAACTTTGTTCTCAAACTGGTAAGTGCTGTTAAGACATTCAGTGCTGATCCTGTTAACAGGAGAGGTTAGTTTTGTGCACATACTGCATTTGTAACTGATTTGGGGCCATAATAGAATAAAGAAGCATCTTTAAGTGCTGATCTTCTTGATGTAAGAGTGTATAAAATGTCTTTTTTCCTCAAGTTATCAGAATAACTTTACAAGCAAAAGCCCTGGTGAGGGTACAGTTTACACTGGCAGAAATTAGCCACTGGCAGAATAGGACAAAGGGTGTTGAAGATCACATTGTCCTCAGGGCTAAAAATAAAGATCTAGAGTCCAGAGTTAAAGCAAAGGTTCTGCTTCAGCAGCTGCTTTCTCCCTCCCAGTGAGGATTTGGGTGTTCCTTGGTCCCGAGGTGCTAAAAGGAACAGTCATTCTGAGCTGCTGCTGCTGTTTACACAAGATGAGTACCAAATACTGATTGTGCTGCTCTTACTGCTTCTTCACTAGAGGTGGTCTGAGTTGCTGCATCTGTTTGCTCAGTCTATTGCCTGCCTACATATCCTGAATATTGAGATTCTTGCTCTTCTTCTTTGCAGCCATGGAAATAAAGAGGTGTTCTCCTGCCGAGGTATCCTTCTGGCTGTCCAGTGGTTTTGGGACAGGGGACACAAGGATATTACAGTCTTTGTGCCGTCGTGGAGGAAGGAGCAGCCACGACCAGATGTGCTTATAACAGGTGTGGAAATATGAAAACCAAAAGTGGCTTTTCAGGCTTAGTGCTTTGTCACTTAATGAGCTCTAGTTAGTAATTAACTTAAGAATGGAAGATCTGAGTAGGAAGAGATCCAGTAAGCTGCTGACCAGTGAGAATTAGTCATTAACTTCTCCCCAAAGTGAGTATTTGACTGTAACATGCTTGACACCGTAGCCTGAACAGAATTTCTCCATGCTAAAAGTTAGAGCGCGGTGGGAGTTCAGTCAGAATTACTCATATCGAGGGGAGTTTGCTCTGAGCTTGCAAACAGCTGAGACCTCCAAGTAACTTTACTCAGAAATCTCTGCCTGTAATATGGCACTACAAAAGATAGGAGCCTGCCACTCTTAAACGCATCTTGCACTTTGCATGCCAAGGATTACGTGGATGGGCCTGGCTGTGTTACAGCAGCCTCTGTGGGGTGCTCCGAGTGTTTGTGGGTGCCATGCAGGCACTGGGCTAGGGGTCCACCTCTGGGTGGTGTAAGAGACGAGCTTACAGGCTGGCTTGTGGAGAGGTGGAATGACTTTACACGAATCCTGTCATTTACGTACCATGTCACTTTACCTGTGCAAGGCCTTTGGGCTGTGTACGTGTGTTCACAGTTGTGTTTGTTCTAGACCAGTACATTCTCCGTGACCTTGAAAAGAAGAAAATTCTGGTGTTCACTCCTTCCAGGAGGGTTGGAGGCAAACGTGTTGTGTGTTACGATGATCGATTCATTGTGAAACTGGCGCATGAGTCTGATGGCATTGTGGTTTCTAACGATACTTATCGGGACCTGCAGAACGAGCGTCCTGAGTGGAAGAAATTCATTGAGGAGCGTCTGCTGATGTATTCCTTTGTTAATGACAAGTACGTTCCCATTCTTCCTTTGCTTTTAAGTAAGATCTGTGTGAGCTGTCTTTTAATGAAGCAATAGCAAGTGAGGTATGAGAAGAACAAAATGCTGGTATAGAATTGTAGAAGGAAGTGTGGTGGGAAGAATTGCCCAACTGTGATGAGGCACAAAGGCATAAGAAATTAGAGTCATCTCAATAGCTGTTCGTAGCTTGGAGCTAGGAGCTCTGCTGTAGTGGAGCTCCTAGGAGAGCTTCAAGGCAGCATTTCCTCACAGGACAATCATTAGCAGGCCCAGCAGCAAGTGCTAATTCTGATCGGCAACAGAGCACAGCACCTTTCCTGTGCCAGCAGTGAAGCATTTCATGTTGGTCTTTAGCTGGTGACAGGGGGGTTCTCTCTGCAGTGAATTGGGAAAGCTTCTTGGGGCTCAGATAGGGGGGTTTTATTTTTAATCTTCAATAAAATGGGAGACTTCAAGAAGTAATAACACCCTGACCCAAGAAAGTGAACTTCTCCTGATGGAGATTTATTTTCCCTTAGGTTTATGCCTCCAGATGACCCCTTAGGGCGCCATGGCCCCAGCCTGGATAACTTTCTCAGAAAGAAACCTGTGGTGCCAGAACACAAGAAACAACAGTGCCCTTATGGTAAGACCTGCCTTCTAAACGTGAAGCCTGAGGTGTCTGTGCAAGTGTAATTCATACATCTGTTAGTAAAATTCAGCTGGTCGTGCCATGCTCATTCCATGCTCTGCCTTTCCTTGCAGGGAAGAAATGCACTTACGGAATAAAGTGTAAATTCTACCACCCTGAAAGGATCAATCAGCCCCAGCGCTCATTAGCTGATGAACTCCGAGCCAATGCAAGGTTGTCTCCTACCAGAAGTACCAGTGCCAAGGAGGAGAAAAAGGGCAAAAGAGGTTCCCAGGCAGAGCTCTTGTGCTCTGTGCCCTCAGAGAACGACAAAAGCTCTTTGCAGAAGGTCTCTGCAGAGAGGAAAAGCTTGACCCACAAAGCGAAGGCCAGCGATGTTACGCTTCAGGTCAAAGGCTGCGTGTCAGGCAGTGTCCCCCCTAACAGCGGGAGTCACAGGTCCTCTGACAGGTACCAGCAGCCTCATATGGACTCTATGTCTTACATCTCTCAGGAGCATCTCGACTCAGGCATTGGGTCTCTGGAGAACCAACTGTCTGACATGTGGCCTTACAGATCTACCAGTCACTGTGATCATTCCCATGCTGATCAGGTGGCAGTCTGCACCTGCAGTAGGCAGAGACCCATCTACTCACGTTCCCCCAGCTTAGAGCAAAATGGTCTGGTCTCTTACAAGCATGGTTCCCACAAATCTTCCTCCTCTGGTGCTAGCTTCTTGCAGTATAGCCCTGAGATATCTCACTCAGGACCGCCTCACTCGTTCTCAGGCTATGGAGTACCTGTACACCCAGCTAATGCTGGGCAATACAGTCTGCCCAGTGAGTATAACACCCCTCCACCCCATTCTCGTGAGTACTGGTCTGAGCCATACCAGATGCCTCCTCCTCAAGTGAGATCTTCCAGTGTGCGAGATCCTCGCTCAGTGCAGAGAGCCCCGGGGCCGGCGTATGGGGACTCCTGCCAGTGGGCTGTGCCTGACCAGTTTGCAGAGGAACGGGCCAACGTGCACATCAAGCTGTGTGGCATATTCCATCCCCATTTAGTTGATGCTGTGATGAGCCGTTTCCCTCGGCTTCTGGATCCCCAAAGGCTCGCTGCGGAGATACTCACGTACAAGTCTCAGAATCCAGGTATTTGAGGTGATGCTGAGGGCAGCCAGGCATGTGGAAAGCTTGAAGGGCAGTGTTTGCACTCTGTAGCTGCCATAGCTGCCTTCTGAGGGCTCCTTCTTACTCCTTGGAAGTACCAGGCTCTAGTTGGAGCTGGATACCAGATGTCGTGTGCTCACAGCAAATTCTGGTCTAGATATGACAGTGTGCCCCTCTTAGGTGAGAGCACCTTAAGGTCCCGTCTTCCCCAGGGGCTCTTGAAGAGGCTCTGGGTGCTGAACAGAAGAGGCTGCAACTTCAGAGCAGGATTTTTCCCTAGGGGGTCGCATGATGAGTTAGGCCCACCCTCAATTCCTGCGCTTGTTCAGAAACTGAATGTGACCTTACTCCTCCCATTAGCTTCAGTTTTGGGGTGGTTTGTTTAGTGCATTGTCAGGCATGCAGAGGGAGGGCTTAGGGGGGCTCATGAAAGATCTGGGCTACTACCTTTGCAGTGGCAGGAGGCTTGTTTGTGAAGATTGAAATGCATTGTCAAGGCTGTTCTTAGCTCTTAACTAAGCCTCTTTAGTAAATCCTACCATGCAGATCGGTGGGAAATGTTGGATTGTATCTAGTTCAAAGCTAGGTTTAGCTGACTCTAATTGGGCTTTATTGGTGCACTTCTTTGAGGATGCTTTCCATACCCCTCCCACTGAAGCTGACCTTCCTGAGATGAGGCAGTTCTCCCATATGTACCACAAGTGCTTAGCAAGCTGCTCGGCTCCCACAAAACAGAGCTGGGAATGCAGCCCTTCCTCAGGATGAGAGGCCTGACGCTGCTCCAGAGCTGGGACATGCAGTTATCAGAGCACGTGGATGCCCACGCTGTTGATGCTGCTCTGAAACGTTGACCTTGCCTGGTAACCTGTCTTAGGCTATCTCTGTACAACACTGACAGGGAGGATTTATGATGTTGTGCCTTGTGTCTTCAGACAGCAATAGCTTTGAGCACCCAGTAAACAGCTGTAGTCATGTCTGGACTGCTGCCAGTCCTATTCTGGAGGATTCCTTCCTATTTTTTCCTCCATAAAGCTGTTGCTTCATCTTCTTACTAATGTTCTCCTGTCGCCTTCAGCTTTGTCAAACTATAGCAGCATCCAAAAACGTAGAATGAGACTTACTTGGTAAGACTGTTCCCCTTTCATTCCCTTTTACTCTGCAAGATGTTGAGTTTTTACTGTAGATACTGTAACAGATTTTAAAGATGCAAAACCAATTGCTGTAGTAATTGGTTCTGGTCCTGGAATTTCACTGTGCTTAGAATGCAAAGGTGTTTCTTGCACTTGCAGGCCAGAAGCAGTTGATTTGTTGATACACATTGTATCTGTGTGGTTTTGTTATGTGTTTTTAAATACGTCCAGCTTGTGGTTAAACCCAGGTCGTTGAGTGGCAAGTCGTGATGGGGAGAGCAGGATCCAGCTGTTGGAGAACCCTCTTCGGGAATAGCTTTCTCTATCACTGTTCTTCCCTCTGACTGTCCGAGGAGTGACCTACCCAGAGTGGCACCATGTGCCGTAAGAACCACAGGGACACAGAAACCTGTATACCTGGTGAATTACGATACATTACAGATGAGTAATGTTTCATGTTAGTAAGCAAAATGCTTCTTAATTTTAAGTAACCTGAGACTTTGCATATTTGTAAATTACAGGAAAAATGGTTTTTAATGTTATTGTCCAGCAGCTTGCTGCTTGAGGCTGGTTTTAGTTAGAATAGGCTCGACTCAGCCATTGTGTTACTCGGCGTGGTGGGGTTTGGTGTCCTGGTGGAATGCTGATACATGCTGCTTCTCTTGCAATCACAGAAGATTAACATTTTATACTCACAAGCTGACATTTTACTGACCTCTCTGTAGCATTATGCAGTATATAGCTCCTGTACTGAATGGAGGCAGCCGGGTGAAAGCCATGGCAAAGCAAGACCGTGTGTTATATAAATAAAAACTGCTGAGTTGAATTATTTGGTCTCTCGTGGCTTTTTGAAAGACCAGTCAACGTTTTGGCTGGCTTTCCAGGGAAGTCAGGGCATCGTCCTTCCTCCCTGGGGTGCCTCTGGCAGTCTCGGATCTCCACATGCAGCGTGATGGCAGCAGTCTGATGGCTGGATGTATTGACAGCCTTGGTAACTGATGCAGTGTCACAGGGCCAAAAATCAAAGCTGCAAACTGCTATAGCAGATCACAGCACGTCCAGTGCCCGCTGCTCGCTTGGCATTGCTGAAGTTGGCTCAGTGCACAGGGGAGGTGTAGCGAGGCAGCAGCGTGCTGGCGTGTGTCACTAACTCCACTGTGAGAACCCCAGTGGTGTGGATGTCTCGGGAATAATACTCCTCATTATTCTGGAATAAATAGTATGGGCTGTGCTCGAGTTCCAGTGGGCAGTTCCACAGTGTGGCCTGGAAATAAAGCCAGATTTTACCCAGTTATGTAGCACATCTGTGTCAGGTGTTGAGCATGATAATGCACCAACATGTCAAGACTTTGCTCGGGAGCTTTGTTAGGAACTGGGGAGGAAAGGCAGTAGGAATAGCAATGCTCACATTCCTCTATAAGAATCTTCCCCTCCCACCTGCTATCCCACAGTACAGGGTGTTCTTCCCTGACCTGCTAAGTAACTTTATGGTCTTTATTCAAATGTGTGCTTTTAATTTAATACAGGGCAATGACCTTTTCTAGTTAATCACAAACAAGGAAAGCTCCTGGAGATAGTGCTTTGCTTCAAAACCCAAACCTGAAACCTCACAGTCTTGAAAGGTCATTTACTGGCTGGGGGAGAGGAATGTCACCTGAAGGGACAGAGCTTGTGTCACTCTGTGCAGGTATGATGGGGAGGGAGGGTCTTGGTGGGGAGGGAATCAAGGGATGTTGTGGACCTGATCAGACCTTTCAGCTGGGTGAAGACTCTTGTGTTCACAGTTGGGTCTGCAGCTGGAAAGTGCTGCAGGGTTTTAAGGCTGATCTTCCTGTAAAATACCTGAAGAGATGGTTTTGAAAGATGTGGAGGGCATCTTTACTTCTCTCAAAGCTGGACCAACACAACTAAGGGAATCTGTGCAGGACAGAGGTTCGTTCCCGTAACAAGGAGAGGAAGGGATGGTGGTGATTGATTTGGTTGTGATGTTAACAGCCCTTTTCTATTGCAGTGACAGTCTTGTTGGCACATGGAGCGATTTGGGAGGGTCAGTCCCTAACACAGACCAAAACTATTCCCACAGGCTGCTGCTGTTTGTGCTGCCACACACCCAGAAACCCCAGCTGAGATCCAGTTCCGAGCTCCCATTCTCCCACCCAAGGCTTCTGCATGAGTGAACTGGAACATCCTCTCTGAGTGTAAGTACCACTTTCCCGTGTGCCAGGCACGCTGGTGGACCTCTTGGCTGTGGTGCCCAGGGGAATGCTGCTCAGAACCATCGCTGATGGGTGTTTTCACCCCTGCACTGAGTCAGGAGCTGCCACCCTGCCCACTGTTGTTGTGGAGTTTTCACGACGCAGCCTGTGGCTTACCGCTTCCTGGGGGCGCATCGGTGGGGAGGACCTGTCAGAACTGCTGTGCACTTACAGTGTGTGTCTTATCCATCTAAAATAGGTTAGATCTTCCTCTCAGTTCACTGATCTCTTAAAGTTAAGGAGGTCACACACAGGCACCCTGCTGAAAGCTTCCTGTACTTCAGCAGGTTTGCCCTGTCTCCATCCTGTCAGCCTTGTGCTGAGCCCCGAGGCTGCCTCCTCTGAGCAGCTTTTCCTACCCCAACAGGGTGAGGAATTGCTGCTGTTCTCTTTGAAAGGAGGAGCTGGGGGGCAGAAAGCTCCTGAAAAACGTTAGGGCACAACTTTGGGAAAGAGAAGGAGAATTCCTGAGATGATCTAAGGCTTTCCCTGTTGGGTAGTGGGGCTAACGGGAGCTGGCTGAATGGCACTGAGCTCTCCAAGTCTGGTGAGCCCACCCATAGCTCTTCTTTTCCAAGCCAAGTCGTTGGACTGGTCAGATCATTCTCACTTGACGTGTATGTTGCTTCATGCTCTCAGCGTGAGGAGATTGCTGTGGCTGCATCCCCCCAAAAACATGAGACAGTGTAAAGGCAACCAAGGAAGGAGGGTCTGGGTAGGAAAAACTTGGATGTGAAAATGAGGGGGCCAAGTGAGGGTGTTTGTAAAGAGGAACGAGGGGTCCACCCGTGTGTTTTGTTGGGAAGAAGAGTCTCCTCTTTACCTTCCCAGTTGTGCCAGAAATAGGTGGAAAAGGTAATTAGATCTCACCAAAGGAAAGGCTTTGCTCCCACTGCACAAAGAAAGGACAAAGAGGCAGGGGAAGAGCCCGGCCGCAGTGCTGCAGGGTTGGGACTTGTTTGAAGCGATACTGCAAAAAAGGAAGGAAGAAATGGGAAGCTTCACTGTGGCAGAGGTCAGAGGCTGCTGGGTGCTCCTCTTGCCTTCCCCTGGGTCGCGCAGTGACCCAGGAAGGGCCCTGGGCAGTGGATGCAGCCCCCAGCCCAGAGGGAATCAGGTACCCAGTGTCCGTGGGGCCCCAGCCGGCTCTCCAGGCTCTGTTCGTGCCCTTCTTGCTCACTCAGCTTCCATTTGAACCCGTCTGGTTCCCCCCATGGGGGATTGCAGGATGTGGCCAGCTTGACTCTTAACGTTTCAGGGTGTTTCCAGAGGCAGGGATCTGACCAGTGCTCCCCCAGAGGCCATGGGAAAGCGGGTGCTGTGTGTGTGGTATCATGTGGGGTGTGATGGTGCCACCTTACAAGGCAGCAGGTTCAGCGTCAAACCCGGCTCTGAGGCTGCAGGGCTGGTTCTGTCCCTGCAGAAAGGAAGAGGTGTCCCGAGCACAGCAGCAGCTCTGCGCTGGGTGTTTCAGAGGCACAGACTTGCAGTGAGACAAATGGAGGAAGTGAGTAACGCAGCGGAGGAAATGTTGCACCAAAGTGAGCAGAAAGGTGTAACAGCTGGAGAGGGTCCTGCTGGAGGGGAGGGAAGAGCC